GATCTCCCCAAAACCCCAAAACCCCTCGATGCATTTATATAAAAATCTAACAAAAATATTTATGAAATTAAAGAGACTAAACTACTTAAAAGGGCAATCAGATATCATCATTCGATTGAATGTGTTTGACAACATTTTTCACCAGAAATCATTTTTTTGTTCTTCATTGTTGTAATTTCTTACTTGGGTGTTACCACCTTCTACTTCTTCCCAATCTCTCTCAGTTGGCTTGTATTTGTTCCTTCTTTCCTCTCTTTCTCTCTACATTCTTTCTTATTCTCTTACAGCCTATCGCTAAGCTCCTCCTCCTCTTTTTTCATTTACTATAATTTAAAGCCTATCCTAAAATGAAAGCCCTCTCATTTACTAGCTTGGGTTTCTATTTTAGTTACCTCCTCGTGAGTAATCTCTAGTTCTGCTTCTATTATTATTGTCTCTATTTTGTCTCATATTTCTTGAATTTCTTCCTTCATTTCTATTTTTTGAAAAAGATCTGTCCTAACCATCAATATCTGTTCTATCTCTGTGTTTAGTCAGTCTTATGCTTTCATTATTGTTTCCTCTGTCTCTTCTAGGTGATCTGTCGTTCTTATTTCTAGGACTTCCTCTGGGGGATCTTTCCTTTCTGATGAATGATCTCAGCATTTAAAGCATTCTCGGGTGAGCCCAATCCCTGTGATGCTCAAATGGGATGTAGTTGTTATATTATCCAATAGAAACTAGCTTTGTTGCCATTAAGAATTCCCTCCATTGTTAGTTAGAAATGAAACAAGGAGAGCTACCAATGACCCAAAAGAATGATTTAGCTCTGGTCATTGCAAGTTTTATCATGTTAGGTTCTTCTAGAGATCCTAGCCCATCAACTACAGAGTTTCTAAGACTTGTAACTATGATGATCTCCTTCTCAACTCCTCTAAACATCTCAGTTGTTCCAATAAATATATCATCTTCTTTATCTAATCCTAATCTTTACTTAACAGGCTCAAATAATATTTTGAATGTTGGAATCAATCTTTCAAAAGGAACAATTACCCCTATTGATCTCTTGATTTTAGAAAAGGCATGCTAATTTCTAACTTCATAAGAGGATGCATCTACTCCTTCTACTTCTGACACAACTTTAGTCAGGTCTCCAATTAGATGAGTTGTGAAATTTATCTCATCGAAATCTGATCTGAAACTTTCTTGCTTCAACTCTTTTAGATATTGCAGGTCGAACATAATTACCCTTCTCATGAAATTCTTCAAAACTATAAAGTTACATAAGCAAGATTACACAAATCTTACCAAACTAGCTCTCAACAATATCTCTTCTACTAGCATTCATTGGGTTTTATTTATAAAAGAGTTTATTCAGAATCTAGCACATCAGATGATTAAATCTTAGCTAACCTCTAACTTTTAAATAAGGATAGTCTTATTCAATGAGTCTCTCCATAGTGCTTTTATTGAATTGTGACTACATTAGGTTTGTTGAAAAGCAATGACCTCTTGGATACTCTTCGCATCCTAGGAGAATCATCTGACCCAGATTCATTTTTTGTGAAAGGAGTAATTGCGGTTCAATTAACGATTAAGCATCATCAACAATAAGTGTAGAGAGATTTGGTAGCAAGAAATTAAGATTACTTTGATTCAAAAAATCAAATGTAGCTATTATAAAGGAAGAATCTTCGAATATTTTTTTCATTATATACAATGGATCTATTTTATGTGGTTCGGTGCTAGTCTCTACAAGCTATCTATATTATTTATGAATGTGGAGTAATTATATTACTGATAGAATTTAATTGTATCAGTAAAGATTTTAGACAAGCATTAGTCATTGGCCTCTTAGTAATAATCAGGATTAGTTTCATTAATAATGAGAAGTTTTTATCTCATCACCTCACTATAGATTTATTAATATACAGGCAAAATACCCTTTCTGAATGGAATCTGAGTATATGAGCTTAACTATATTAAGCATAGCCTCATTATTAGGAACAAGAAAAAGTATCTTGCTTTTTGAGGATGCAAATAGCTTTAGACATGCGATATTCAGGCCACAGAATGTCTTCCCAGATCCAGGCTATAGTAAAAAAAATGATTTAGCGAGTAATAACATACAGCTCCATTGATGAGGATCATACTTTCCTTTTATTGATTGATATACTTTAGCAAAAGTTCGTTTTAGTACGGTGTCAACTTTCTGTCTATTGTAGCATTCTAGATAGCTATCTCCATCTAGCCTTAAACTTTGTCAAAAGGATTAAGCTAAGCTCTCTGTCTAGCTCTCCTTGGCGCTAAAATGAACTTGAATATCTTATTTTTATCATCTATTAGATCGAGCATCTAAAGTTGTTGACAATCTTTGAGCAGACCATTGATAAAGTAAGTATAGAAGGATACTTCTCCGTTTATTTAGCTTCTTGCTGCCAAAGTCTTGACAAATTAGATGTTGCTTCTACTGATTTTGAGAACAAAGTTGCTATTTGCCTGATCATGATACTTCTAGATATTAGTCACTTAATGCACTATGCTGAGGATAAACTTTCCTTAGTTATACAGCTATGTCTGCACAAACTCAATAAGTTGAAGAAGAGTCTCAACTTTGGGATTGATTTCAATTGGTTGTGATGACAGTATGAAAACATCGCATAGTTGAATCTGAGAGATAAATTTGTCATATAGACAAACTTGGCTTATGTCAGGCTCAACCTATGAGACACACTCGTTAGTTGGGATTACCGGAATCAGTATTTTTTCATCAGAATTCAGCATGAATGAGAGTTTCTTGCCGCTTTAGAATTCTATCATTGACTCTCTTGCTATTTTCACATGTGGTGAGCTTATCTTGGAAAATGCTTCATATTCGATAAGAGCAGACCAAGTTCTCCTATAAGCTTCTATATCGCCATCAATTGAGCTTGTAACAGGTTTCAGCATTCTTACTTGAAGTGGATTTTGAAGGTTCTTGAGAAGTTCTAAACTCAAAAGTCTCTCTATAAAAACTTGAACTCTCTCTGAGTCAGTCACTAGCTAAAATGTATCTTCATCTTTGAAGTCTTGTCCATAACTTTCACTGAGTAGCGATGGTATATTAGATGGCAAGACAGAAGTATAGGTTCCCAAATCTAGGCTTGGAGTCACCTTGTAGTCACTGGATATACTCTATCTTAGCTCTTCAAACTGTTCTTGTAGTTCTGGGTTGATGTTTATCTTGCTTTCGTCATCTGTTGATCTAGACTCACTTATTTTTAGTGAGTCTTCACAGGCCTTATGAAATTATCCTTGGTAGCCCTCTAGATCATTGGCTATTTTGTTGTATTAGCTATCTGTAGGTGGATAATTTGTCATGAAGTATGGCTTCAATTTGCTTGCAGTTGAACTGTCTTGCTAGGTAAAGATCAGAGTTGCAGATGGTATGTAGACGTCAGAATTGAGGTTGCTGACTTTATCTGATTATTCTTCCTACTACATTTAAAAATCAATTTATTAAATTATACGTAAGATATACTGAATCGTTTTTTAAATATTTTGGTTATTTTAGGAATGCGGGGTTTTGGGGTTTTGGGG